CGAACAAAAATCCCCCCTTTTTATTTTCTGTTTTTAATTTGCGATTTAAACCCTTGAAATTTCCTTGAGAGACAACTCAGGTTTGCACTATATTACAAAATTTTTATAAACCTGATTTTTTTAATTTGCATGAGTTCGACAGCTCGTCCACTCATCCAACTAATAGCTTCGCCGGATGAGGAAACAACATATCCAATTAATAGCTTTGTCGATAACTTAGAACCAGTAGACATGGGAGTCAACAAAGGTTTCCAGTCAATCATCTGGAATTTCTTCACAACATCCTCTATATACTTCCGCTGACTCAACCATAATCTTCCTTTGTCATTCTCCCCCTTAATCTGCATACCTAAGATCACATTTGCAGTACCAAGATCTTTCATTTCAAATTGCTTTGCTAGCAGTTCTTTCACAGTGCTAATCATCTTCAAATGGTTTCCAACGAGTAAAATGTCGTCAACATACAAAGTTAGAATAACAAAGTCACCTTCTAATCTTTTCACATAAACGCAATGATCAGCATCACAACGGTCAAAGCCAAGCTTCACCACATAAGTATCGAACTTCATGTACCACATCCTGGGGGACTGCTTCAGGCCATATAGAGATTTATTCATCTTGCAGACTAGCTCCTCTTTACCTATTACTATAAACCCCTCTGGATGCTTCATGAAAATAACCTCCTCCAAATCACCATGAAGGAAAACTGTCTTCACATCCAGCTGCTCCACCTCTAGGCCATATGCAGCTGCTACAGACAAAACCAGCCTTACGGAATTTAACTTTGCAATAGGTGAAAACACCTCACCATAATCAACCCCTTCTGTCTGTGAATATCCCTTTGTATCCAATCGAGCCTTGTAGCACTCAATCTCCCTATTGGCACCAACCTTCTTCTTAAATACTCACTTGCAACCAATTATTTTTTAGTCTGTAGGTAGATTCACCAAACTCCAAGTTTGATTTTTCAACAGAGACTTCATCTCTTTTTTCACAACTTCCTCCCACTGTTTGCTATCCTCTGAGCTCCTAGCTTGTTTTACAGTGCTTGAATCATCACCTGTAATACTAAATGCACAAACATCATCACTAGCACACATGATATAATTTTCAGGTGTATACATCTCAGATAGTCTTCTTTCCCTCGTAGACATCCTCAACACTAGTTCTTCAACCTCAGCCTCAGTTTTAGAAACTTCATCCTCTACCTCGTTATATTTAACAGCTTCAGAATTCAAATTTTCCAATCCAACCTGTGAGTTTATTGTATCCTCTTTCAAACCCATATCCAACTCCACTGTCTGTGGCTTTTCAGGAGCTTCAAGAAAAATTTGATTCAACTTAGATTCTCTGAATACAACGTCTCTGCTGTAAGTTACATTTCGAGTATCCGAATTTCATAACTTGTAACCTTTGACACCATCCTTGTACCCAATAAAGATACACTTCTCGGATTTACTATCAAGCTTGCTTCTTTTCTCCTTGGGTACGTGCATATGTGCTTCACAGCCAAACACTCTGACATGAGATATGTCTGGCCATTTTCCAAATAGTGCTTCATACAGAGTCTTCTCCTTCAAGGCTAATGTAGGAGATCTGTTCTTCAGATAACAAGCAGTAGCCACTGCCTCAGCTCAAAACTCAACTGCCAAGCCAGCATCGCTCAGCATACTCCGTGCTTTCTCCATGAAAGATCGATTCAACCTCTTTGCCACCCCATTCTGTTGAGGTGAGTAGGGCATAGTCTTCTGCCTTGCAACCCCTTTGCTTGCACAGAACTGGTCAAGTTTTGTTGAACAAAACTCCCCTCCATTGTCAGTTCTCAACACCTTGATTTTTCGATCAAACTGATTTTCCACCAAAGCCTTGGACTCGCAGAACTTATTGAACACTTCATCCCTACTACGCAAGAAATATAACCACACATATCTTGAAAAATCATCAGTAAAAGAAACATAATACCTTGATTTTCCATGTGATGCTATAGGTGTGGGGTCAAACACATCGTTGTGTATCAGGTCCAGAATCCCCCTAGCACTTCCTCTTATGGAATCAAAAGATACCTGATTTTGCTTCCCTTGTAGGCAATGCTCGCAAAATCCAAACCCCATAGAGCAGCTCGAAATTCCATCCACCAGCTTCTTTGATGTCAGAGTATCCAGACTTTTCTCTCTAATATGCCCCAGCCTCCTATGCCATAACATAGCAGTGTCCTCCTCTGCCTGTTTCGAAACATAGCTTTCACCACTGAATACTGTGCTACCTAGCAATTTCCCCAATTTACCATGGCGTTCTCCCTCCTCGAGTCAGCTTACAAGAATACTTGTCACTACTGAAATTAATATCAGCAATATTGCTAACGGGGATCAGATTTCTGGTAAACCCCAAATTTGCAACACGCCCGACAGATTCTTGATTGTCTTATTACTCATCTTCAGCTTTATCTTCCCATGCCCCACTATAGCATGAGTTGTGTTATCTCCCATTCTAACTATATCGCCAAAATATGATTCATAGGTGCAGAACCACTCCCTATGAGGTGTCATATGAAATGATGCTCCAATGTCAATAATCCAGCCATTGCAGTCACTATGACTGTCAAATGCCATGTACAGGTCCCCTGTACTATTATCATCATCCTTTTTTGTACCCAAAGCAGAAGGTTGTGAATCATCCCGCTTCTCAGGACCTGCGCTTTTGCTTCTGCAATTCCTTCTCAAATATCCACATGTTTGCACCTCCAGCACCTTATTTCATATTTATCAAGTTTATCACAGGACTTTGATTGTCCTCTCGATCTTCCTCTGTGACCAGACTTTGATTTGTCAACACTCTTCCCTCTAACAATTAGAGCCTCATTGTTGGTACCTTCAGAACTTACCATTTTCATCTTCTCAGACAATAAGGCAGCAATAATCGTCTTGAACGACAGTTTATTAACACCAGTACCAATTGACACAATGATGTGCTCCCAAGAGTTTGACAGTAAACACAACAAGGTGCAAGCTTTGTCTTCCTCATCCAGGTTGATGTCTATAGAGAAAAGTTGCGCACAAATAGTATTAAATTCATTTAAATGAGCAGAGAAAGAATAACCTTCCCTCATCCACAGATTGTACAGCCTCCTTCGCAAGAACAACTTGTTCACGAATGACTTGCTCTGATAAAGGCATCCTGGCTTGGTCCAGAGATCCTTTGCAGTCTTCTCAAAAGTTGTGTTCACTGGAACGTTATCTGCCAGGCATAACCAGATCAGGCTTCGCGCCTTTTGATCGTCTCTAGTTCACGCCTTCAACTCCTTTGACTCGCCTTCCTATGACGTTCCATCACCGACAATTTTCGTTGGTAGCGATGGTTTATCATCTTCGATCACGTACCACACGTCTCTGTTTACGAGCAAAGCCTCCATCTTCAGCTTCCATAACTCGAACCCCTTTCCTCCAAACTTTTCAACCTTGATCCGTGATTGGCCAGTTGACATCCTCTCCAAACCAATTTCATAGTTTTCTCTTACCAAGGAAAAACCCCAAATCGCGAAACCCCAATTTGTCACAAGAACCCCGATTGCAAAACTAAAGCTCTTGATACCAAAATGTTGGAAATCAACAATTAGACACAAATCGAAAAATAAAAGAGAAAAGGAAGAGAGGGTTTTGACATAGTGATTTACCTTGGTTCACCCAATGTAGGCTACGTCCAACTTGTCTGTACTATATTTACCTCACCGTCACTCGTTACAAGTCACTCAGTTTACAAGGAGAATATAAATAGGATTAGAAAAACCTTAACAACAGCTATTCATGGGCCCAAGCCCAAACTACTAAGAAAAGGAAAAATTACAATAAGCCAAAGGCCCACAACAGTACCCAGCCTTTCTGCTGACCTCGACAACAAGGGCCCTCATCAGCATGCGAAGTATGAGTCATACCCAACATCATTAAACAATGTAACTGTAATGTTGATAAAAAAAAGAGTCGCGGGCTCATGGTGACTATATACTTGTGTTAGAGAATAATATAAATCATTAAAAATGCACTCACCCAACACCTTAAGGTTTTGGGTTGAAGTGATTCTTTACATGGTATCAGAGCTTCAGTGACCACAAGGTCACGAGTTCGATCCTCACCGCCCCCACTTTCAAGTGGAATTAAAAAAAAGCACAAGGTTAAACCAAAAACATTGGGCCTGTGCAATATTCACACTTCAAGCCCAAAGGGCTCTTGTGTGAGGGGGTGTGTTAGAGAATAATATAAATAATTAAAAAGACCCTCACCCAACAACTTAAGATTTTGGGTAAAAGTGATTCTTTACAACTTGTGAAGCATGAATCTAGGCATTGATGCCACTGAAAATTACGATAAAATATTAGACAATCACCGTGTAAACATTTCTAATTAATTAAAATAAAGAGTAAACACCCTTTTTAGTCCCTGGCAATATCTACGAAGTACTTTTCAGTCCCTGACAATAAAAAAGGACCAAATTGGTCCCTGAAAGTACAAGAAAAGGGCCACTCTACATATTTGGGAGTTGACATAAGGACTAACATGACCCTTTTTTGTAATTTCAGGGACCAATTTGGTCCTTTTTTATTGCCAGGGACTAAAAAGGACTTCGTAGATATTGACAGGGACTAAAAATGGTGTTTACTCTAAAATAAAATTATACCTTAACCTTTTCAAATTTCTATTGTTTTGAATTTTTTAAGGCGCAAAGGTTTCAAATAATAGCAGAGCATAACCCCAGGATCATGTCACTCAAGCTTTCAAGGAAACACAATGGTTAATTAGTTGATAAGTAAAACCTCAAATTCAGATTTCATTGAAAGTAATTAGCAATATTTGTGGGAGGGAATGAACTATTCCCTTACTGTGAAGTGGAGAATACCTGACTCTATCAGCGATCAACATTTTTGTCGACAAATTCTGAAGTGGGCATAAAACTTCAAAATGTAGAGCTAGATTATCAGGTTAGAAGGAATTATATCAAATTTCCACCTGTTTCAGCAACCTGCTAATAATGATACATGGACAATTCTGTTATGTTCATGAGTGGATACACTATTAAGGCAAAAACTGACATCATATAAAGTCACACCTAATATCTGTATATTTTTTGTCAATTTTCTCTGAATTTCTAGATCCCTACTGGTCAGTAGTCGCAGCAATGGGAATGGCAGAATGGATTGGTCTTGGGTTATCCTGATCAATATTCTGAGAGGGTTTTAGTATGTGCTTAGCACCTGGACTAAGTTTGACAGGACCTGATATTACCACCCTATCCAGGTCAAAAGAATCAAACCCAAGATAATTTCTAGGATTTAGATTCTAAGCCTCATTCTGACAACATATACTTCTTGCACCTACTTGGATATCAAGTTCAACTGATCTTGTGTTTCGCTGCAAATCTGTACTTGAGTTTTCTCGAGTCAACCCCGTCATGCGACTTAAGTTTTCCTGCACTTATATATTAGGTAACTTGTTCGGTTTAGTAAGATCAACAAGATTAGATGCGGGTCTCTTCCTGGAATTTCTGCATGGATGATTGTCTTTGGTAGTCATATCATCTAACTTCACTTTGTCAGTGACCTTAATTACGTTTCTACAACCACTGTTTATGGCAGAGGGTGATTTGGTAATGGGTGTAACTGACACATGTGGAGGTTGAACAATTGACGCAGGGCAAAAAAGGGCCTTCCTGGGACAGTGAGAAGTCACAGAATTACAAGAATTCAGAAAATCTGCTGAATGATTCACAGATGGTGCAATAAAATTATTTCCCCATGTATTTTGAGGAAAGCTTTGGGTAGAAGAGGTCCCTGGCAGCCTTGCATGTGTTGAGCCTAACAAGCATGGTGGTAAACTCCCATAGGACCTCTTAAAGCAAGATGCTTTGGCCTGTTCTTCAACAACTGGGTGCAAGAAAGGAAATCCGAAGGCTGAATTCGTAGCATGATGGTGCTTCTTCCTGTCATTCAGCTCACCATTGATTGAAGAGGTAGGCTGACTAAAATTGCAAGGAGTAGGTAGTTCCTGTGACTGAAGGCTGAGTCCTTGAGGTTTAGCTCCAGATATAAACTGCACAGGCAAGTCGTCAGGTGCCCTATTATATAATGCACATGAAGTAGGTGCATGGGTAATATGGTGCAAATTAGAACTAGCAATTCTGCTGACGCCAAGGTATCCATTTTGGGATACATGATTCCTTTGTTGATTAAGAAATGCGGAGTTTGGACCTTTCATCAATAAGGTACTTTGGAAAGCCTGATTGCTTTGAATTTTCACTGATTGTAACCCATGTTCGGTTGACATCTGTAATTGTGAACCAGATATCCAATCATTCTTACAGCATCTTCCCGATAAAGAATTCTCTTTAGCAGCATCTTCAGAATAATGCCTTCTTCTGGATTCCTCATCGGCCCAAAGATCTCCTCTCGCAAATTGTTGCTTCTCTTTGCTGCTTCTACCAATTGGAACATCTTTACCCATCAACCTCATTGTTGGTTGGCTGGAACTTGGTGAAATAGGACCTGAACTTTCTTTTGGAGAAACCATTCCATTTACCTTGTGGTTTGGCACCTTGTCACGTTGATTCTGTTCAATGAAAGGGTTTCTCATAAGGTTCAATTCTGAATCAGGCTGCTGGACATAGTGATTGGAACACCTATCAGAATTATGCTGGTAGATATCTGCTCTCTCCCTTCCATGTAACTCAGTAACACCTAACCTTGCTGGATAATGCGGAAATGGATTTACCCGATATTGAAGTGTCTTCTCAACAACATGCCTCTCACCACTGCTTAAATATTCCTGGGCCTGGCTACTTTGATGGAGAGTATTATTCACAGGTAAGCCACTTAAAGAATCTCTTAATATACATGATGTCTCTGGCTGGTTCATCCCAACTTGTCCACTTGAACTGAAGTTGATTAGTTCACCATGAGAATTGAGTGGCAAACCAAAAAAGTTCTGCTCCATGCAATTATTTCTTACACTTCTTTTCCCCCAGTCAGGCAAAAGAAACGAATTATCAATCACATCAGCAGAAAACATGTGAGACCACGGTCTGCCTCCCAAATCTTGGCCATTATTAACATTGTCTGCATAAGTATGCAATGGAAATTCAGGTCTCTCATTTCCTTGGTTATATGACGCAGAATAAGACGATGAAGGCTCCAAAAATGTCCTTGTATTTGCATTTGAGTTCATAGCGGCAGACTGGAAAATTGGATCCTCCAAATGATCAATGAACTTCCCTGTGGAGCTAAAAGCATCGGATTTACACACTTGTGTTTTTATACCAGAAAACTGCCCCGTTTGAAATGCAGAAAGAGGTCTAGAAACGTCAGTATATGGAGAACAATGCAGTGTAGTTGTGTTTCCTCTATCAAACCAATGTAAATTATTATCACAAAATGAAAAATTGGATGATGATTCAGATTTCTCTACTACGTGCTTTGATTTATCTTGATTGGTGCTCGGCTTCAAGAAATTTTGTACCGCAACTTCTCTCAGAGCATTAGCAAACTGTTTACTTTCAACTATTGGACAAACCTCCTTTCTCTTGTCAATGTCAATGACAATGCTGTCATCATTTCTGTTTACCTCCAAATTTGCAGTTCCTTCATCACTTCCAGAGGACTGCTCCTTTCCAAATGAAGCAGCCAACGCATTTGAAGATAACTTGAACACGGTTTCATCAAATGAGTTTGTCTTTTTCGGACCAAGTTCGTAATCTAAAGCAGAAAATCTCACATGCCTGTCTGATTTTGGCACTTGAACATCACAATCGTTTTCTTCAGTACCATCTTGAATATTACAACCACTTGAAGTACTTTCAGAAATATGTTTGTGATTCTTAAGAATGCCACGAATTGGAGACACTGCTTTTTGTTGCTTTCCAACTGAGTCACAGGCTTTTACTTTTTCCCTCTTTTCTTCTGATAAGATCTTTAAACCCAATTTCTTTTCATGGGCAGAAGAAGCATCAATGTCATCAAGTTTAACTGTTTTATTCCCCATAGTATCTTCTAGCTTTCTGAAATTATTTGCTGGATTTTGCACCTTGCGCTTATAAGCATCTCCCTGGGACATACAAAGTTAACCAACTTAATTAAGCCTAGCAAGGTTAAGATTAAGAATAATACTCAAAAAGTATCGTGATAACAAGTGATGTATTCTTTTCTTCAAGCCCCCCTCCCCAATCCCCCAATTTTGGTTCTCTCTTCTTTTCTTCCCTTGAGCTTGTAACAAAAGAAACGGTATGGCTGACAAGAAGATTTGAAGGGAACTCTTTTTTGAGGCATGCATAATTAAATCAATGTAACACTCTTACAAATTATCTGTTTCACATAAATGCAATTTTCAAAGTTTATCTTCTACTCCAGTTATGGACCGTATTATAAATAATAGACGATAATAATGCACTCAAATTTTCAATATCTACTTCAGTGGTTATAAGTAACTGGTGCAATGGATGTAATCTTCAGAGTTGGCGCAAATAAATTCTTTTAAGATATCAGAGCAAAATTCTTGGCATTAGCCTTTTTAATTTTTACTTTCAGAAGAGGAAAATAAATTCAGTATAGGTAAAGACTTTAAAGAATAACCTATTTCTATATGGGAAATCATATTCTCATGTTGCATGAAATTGATCTTTTATGTTGCATTCACATCGAAAAATGTACCTCTCTTTTTACTTATTTTTTTTAAATTGGTGAATCCCACTTTATTTGTCTCTAAACATGAAAAAACTTATCTCTTACTACATGATAGAAGTAATCCCCTTTCTATATATTGTAAAAGCATAGATGCCTAACTTAACTGAATAATTCCCTTACTTTTACTATTTACTTCAAGTTTACATAAATATTAAAAACAAATTATAAGTGCCAAAATCTTTTACCAAGCTATAATCAATAAGCTCAACTATGCCATGCTGATATTTTTGTAAAGCAACATTAGTGATCATAATTGCTTGCATTTCCCTCTTAAAAGAAAGAGAGTCAATTTTTTTATTTCTTTTTTTGGTAATTATAGTCAATACTTTTTACTTTAAGTATAGTAGAGCATTGAGTTCAGTTTTGATGTCTTCTGCCTAATTTTTTTTTTCACACTCATAAACAATTATGTGTTACATTATTTGATGAGTTTGACTATGTTAACAGTTGAGATGACAATGAGATGCAATTGTTACACTAACAGTACAACAAAATTAAATTCTTAATGATATATAAGATAAACTTCTTTTTAACTCAGCCCACCACAGCATAGTAAAATAGAATCCCCACTCTTGATAATAACATAGCTTGTTTGAATTCTGTTTCGGAAAACAGTTTTTTTTATTTTTAGAAAAAAAAATAAAAAATCTGTTTAATAAGATTTATTTTGTAAAAAAATTTAAAAATTGTAACTGTTTTTATTTTTAAAATAAAATTTAACGAACATGTCTGAGTTGTTTTGTTTTGTGTTTTAGTTTTTAACTTTTAAAATAAAAAATAACAGAAAATATTTATTTCATTAACTTTTTTATAAAACAATTTTAAGAAGAAAAAAAAAATCAAACAGATACATAGATATATAATTTCTTATTATACTCTTTTCCTCCTTAAAACACGTGGCTTCCGTGTTATTTAACACCTTTTTTTTAGTTTTTTGAAAACTCTCAAACTGTCAATTATTTTCACATTTTTATTTTTACGTGAAGGTTTTTTTCTTTCTTATCAAATATTAACTGTCTATACTCTCTTTAAAATAACTACTTTCAATTTTTTTACTACACTGTTAAAATTTTCCTTTTCTCTCCAAACCTCAGCTGCTTGTCCTCTCAAATTAATTCTTTTCACTTTCCTTTTATATTAAACTTTGTTCTTTCTCCCTAAATCTGAGCTACTTCCATCCTATATGATAAATTAGAGTACATTATCTTAAAAGTGGCTTAATCTTTTTGTCTACTCTACGTTAAAGAATGATATTTGTCATTCAAATTAACTTTTCTTCATTTAAATTTTAAATTCGATTTCTTTTAAATTGATTATGCACGAACTTTTAATAATTTTAAACTTCTATTTTTAATCTATATTTTTTAATTCTACTTGAATTAATTATGGATACATTTCTTATAATTTTAATTTTTCTGAATATTTTTCTTATAATATATACTTAATCAATTTATCTTAAATTTTAAATACCTATGCATGGGATACGTGATTATATATATATATATATATATATATATATATATATATATATATATATATATAAAAGAAAGGAAAAATACTTCTGCATTTACCCGAGAAGTATTCTCCTCATGTGACACACTTAGCCGAATTTTGAATTTAAAAAATAAATAAATATAATGAGCCCCGTTATATCTGCTCTACGGCTACTGAAGAGATACAAAACCCATAAAAGAAATGAATATTCATTATGTGCAACGTGCGCATTTATCGTCATTGACATAGGAAAAAAGATATTAGACTCCATATCCCTGAAAATGATTTTAGGTATAACATCTATAGTTTAAATGCGATACACATTCATCAGGGTAATGTCTTTTATTCAAAGATGTGTTAACACATCATTATAAAAGTTCAACTTCCTAACTAGCTAGTAATTGTGAATATGTGATATTATAAAATAATAATAATAATTTAACAACACCAAAATCATAGCGTAAATATTTTTCACTGACTGCGTATAAAAATTAAATTCATTGATATAAATATAAGATTACATACTTAGTCTATAATTAAATTGTATATGTAACGACTACCAAAATAAAATAAAAAAATGTAAATGTTGTGAGACCTTTATTTCAAAGTCTTATCTATAATATTTAAGCAAAAATATTAACATTTAATTATCAATATAAACTACATATACCTAAAAATGCTATATTTAATTAAAGAAAGTAATATGAGGTTATTCAATTCATTATAAATATTAGGTCGAAAACGTCAAGTTGTAAATGAAATTAAGCTTATGCTTGAAGTAATTATGAATATTACAGTTATACAGTTCAGCAGCATATAATCCTAACAACAATTTTTTTTCCTTTGATTTTCAACATTTTATAGTAATAACAAAAATTTGTAGTAACTGAATAACCCTATTGATCTGTTACAAAATAATCACTTTGACGAATCATAAAGAGAAACTTTCTGTTTGAAAGAAATATTATATGAAGTTCTTCAATATACTAGTAAAAGGCACGTAAAATTTTAGAACAATAGTCTTATCAATTGTTTCATGTTTATAGGTGTAGTTATGTGAGCTAAAAACACTGACATGTATCAAAATACAGTTATACAATTATGATAAAAATTATTATAGTTGTTAAAATTATCTAATTTTAATGACCGAATGAAATAATGATTATTGAATGTGTATTTATTTTTTATTTTTTATTTAAATCTGGAGATATCTTCATTCAACCTCCTCCGGTCACCGAAGGCTGCTCCCTTATTGGAATAGTGGGTGCATGCATTGAGTTTTACCACCGGAAGAAGGATGAGGCTAATCTTTCATTCCAGAAAAGAGACATGTCCTTCAACTCCAAAAGATTTTTCAAAAATTTACTTTAAGCAAGGTTTGAATCCTTGACCCAAACAAACCTTTGGAACCTCAATTGCCAACTGTGTTATTAAATGTATATTTTTACCACGTATATCTTTACCATGTATATCTTAGTTTTTCAGAAATAAATTTCAAGAATGAATGAATCCTTTAAAATGAAAAAAAAAAAAAAAAAGTAACTCTAAAGCATCTATTTCTAAGGGAAAAGGAGATTTAAAAAAAATAATATTAAAGCATATATTTCTAAGGAAAAAACTAATCAGTGAAATTCCTTAAAAAATTACTGGGAGATTCAGAAGTACTAAAATTTTTACTAAAGAGAAGGGGTCATTAGGGCAAGCAAATGCATGAATTATGATGCTTACACTTTTATTTAAAAAAGTTGAGGCCTCTATGCAGTGAACACTAAAATTAATATAAAAAAACTGCATTACATTTTCTCATGCTGTTCGAAACTCTGAGTTCTATAAAGTTCCCTCCATATCTTCATCAGTAAAAACTTATTAATAGGCATGGAAAGTAAAACATTACGATAAGAATCAGAGTCAGAAGACGATGCTGTGTGAAAAGCTATAACTAAAATTAGTCTTGAAACGTTTAGATTTAAAACAGTCTAGACAACATTACAGACGTCATTCTTCCTAACATCGATGCCAGTCAAGTCCAACTTTGAAATTTTAATCAATTAATGTGATCAGTTGGTTTTCGAGGACATATCTAGTCTAGGGAAAAAGTTAGCCCCAACCAAGATCACCTTATATCAGCATTGTTCCCCCCTTCATGGCCAGCTCCCTAAAGTTAATATTTGACAACTTCCACTTTCAAATATCAGCAAGCACTAGCATATATTGATACTACTTTCAGGCTTATCTTTTCCGTAGCACTATATACTCTTTTATGAATAAATTTTTAGTACTATTATTATATCAAAAATTCAGTGTATTCCATCAATAAAAAAATTACATGTCAAATTTTTTTTTTTCTATCAATTTTTTTCTGTCTTCTCTGATATGTAATATTAATAAAATGCACTGAATCTAGATACAGCAGTAGCACCAAAGATTTATTCATCTCCTAGGTTGTGATCTGTTAGCCACTTATTGATTTGATTGTATCTAAAAATTAAGTGTTGTTTATTTACACGCCAAATTTTATACACCACTTATATACTTTTTTCTATTTAAAAAATATGGATAAAGAGTGGATATTGAAATATATATTTTTCCTAATTTATTATTAAAAATAATATAAAAAGGTGTAATAAAAATGATATGCAAATATTATTATTTAAAAAAATATAACGCTAGGAAAAAAGCACAAACTACAAGCAAAAGCCACTTGGCTTTTGACCGACATATACAGGAGCAACTCTCCCCATAGACCAACACAACCCCTTCAGTATGAAACCAGACGAGTCTCGCATTCACGTTCTCACCCACGACACCAAAATCATTACATCTAGGATATAGAAGAGATGGCCACCCACCCAGACTTTATTCACGAGTCATGACAATTGCTGCATAAAATAAAACACTTCATAGCATAGGACAACGCCCATGCGATGAAGATCTTTATTACTCCGACGGAGAATAAATTTTCTTCCGCGGTGTCCATCTCGCATTGCATAACAAAAATTTCCCTGAACCACATCACTATGTTAACTTTTCAGTGTTCCCTAACAGACCCAATAAACGATCTTCCAAATTATGAACCTTCAAAATTCACACTTATCCCTCTACCCAAATCTTATCCAGCTGTAAGCTGTATGTAAACCTGTCAGAAAAACTACCTCATAGATGAGAAGACATTCATCTAGCTACCCATGGCCCATATGATAATTACCCCCAAATAATTATTCGCGAATAGTGACGAGGCAGAAGCAACCCCTCATCATTAGGCTCAGCTCTTCCACCTCCTAAGTCCGAACCCATGAGTGGCACTTCTAGCTAAGATACCTGTACTAACTAAACACGTTACACATGGATCAACATTCTTGCAGCGCATTACGCATCCCTGAATAGGCCCTTATATGTTCAATATTTTTACACTCTTTTTTCCAAACTCTTAGACGCAACGTGTTTCACACAAGTACCAAACTCAAAACCACTCACTTAAACAATCACAAATGTCATGCTGTCTCTCTAAACAGCTTTTTCAGCAGCAATTTTATGCAGAAAAGTAACACATAGAATTAGCAAACCTATTATCGCATGCAATAATCAACTACAACAATGCAGAAACTACAATATTGAGTAATATTTTATGGCTTAAAACTTATCAAATATATCCTTAGTTGCCATGAATTAGCTGCAATTATGGAACTAGCACATGCATCCATGAAAGATTAACTTATATTTTATGATATGTAAACCCCATACATAACAACATACCTCCTTTGCAGTGAACTCATTGTTGAACGAATTCTTCTTTTTCTTCTTGTTCTTCTTTTTCTTCATCTTCTTGCTCTCATTGTTCAGAGGTACAACACCACGCTTCCTCACCTTGCTTTTCTTCTTCATAACCTTCTTCATCTTTTTCTTTTTCTTCACGTTTTTGTTCGTACTCTTCTTGCTATTGATTGTGGCACCACCGCAACCAGAATTCTCCAATTCTTCTCCAATCACATCATCTTTGTCCTCAACCTCCACAGCGAGATGGCCGCCGCCGGCAGAGTCTATTTGAGGCGCCACCGTGAGAATCTCCTCAATCGACCGCTTCTTCGGCGCTTTGGGCTTGGGATTCGAACTCAGCCTCTTCATCTGCCACCGCTCTGCTCTCATCGCTTGCGCAAGGCAACCGTCGATGTGCGCATTCACAGCTGTCACAGTCTCCGCGTTGAAAACCCTACACACGGGACAAACCATCTCCAATTTCTCCTCTTCCTCCGCAGAATTTGAATTTCCTTCGTCCGATTTTGCCGATTTACGCAAAATTCCGCCGCCTACGCCATTGGATCTCAGCGCTTCCAGCCGCCGCGAGAGCTGCCGGAACTTCGTTACAGTAATGGAAATCTCATCGGCGTCCTCGCTAAACGGCCAGAAGTTCAGCGAGGTCTCGATCTGCGGCTGCTGCTGTTGCTGCTTCGTCTCCTCCTCATCGTCCTCCAAATCGAAAATCTCTGCGATGGAGCGCTTCCTCTTCGGCGCCTTCGATTTCGACCTCCTCATCTGCAGCCGCTTCTCCTTCATCGTTTGCGCGAGGCAGCCATCGATGTGAGCGTTCACCGCCGTCAGCGTCGCAGCGTTGAAATCGCGGCAAACCGGACAAACCATCTCCAACTTCTCCTCCTCCTCCGCTCCGTCCAAACCAACAACCGACCTATCCGATTTCGCCGATTCGCTCCCGTCGTCGGTTCGAGAAACCACTTCCTCCTCCGGGGGATTCTCCAGCTCTTCTCCGCCGCCGCCATGTCTGGATCTCAGCTCGGCGAGCTCGTCGGACCACCATCGAGACTTCGTAACGATCATCGGAGGCAGCCAGGACTCCGCATCCTCGCGGCTTAGCTCGGCGGTGGGGAATGGCCAGCATTTGAAGACGTCGACGGACCTCATCTTAGACGTGTAGTCCCTGCAGCACCGAATCAAAACCACAGAAAGAGGCACAGTTAGTTACAGTCACAGTCATAGCAGTGAACAAAAATTACAAACAAAAAATGAAAAAAGAAAAAGATAAAAAGATATATAGATGCCTTATGGAGAAGCCATGGAATGTGACTGCCATGATCAGTGACACAAAAATTGTGATTAAGAAGAAGATGTTGAAGAAGAAGAAGAAGAAATGGTAGTAGAGAGAGACATGGATGGTGAAGATGAGAGAGAGAGAGAGAAGCGTAACGGCAAAAATAATGCTTCTTCGCGCTCTAAGGGAGGGTCAGAGTGTGTGTTTCCGTAGCGGTTTACTTTTTTTCTTTTTTCTTTTTTTTTCTCTCCTTAATTTATGACTGAAAGGGACGTATGAGAGAGAAAGTGCAAGCCAAGACTCAAGAGCGACTCACGCTCAACACACTCACACGACGACACGATCACACCACATACAGCAAAATATCTCCACTACTTTTTTTTTTTTTTAACTTATCATAATTATTTTTTTAAGGCGAATTAAAATTCTTTGTATCTTCATGGATTTGACTCTTTCAGCCGCCTATGGAACTAATTTAGAGTTCGGGTGCGAGTCCAAAAATTACGATACTTATACTCCTCCTCATATGGTATCTCCACTACTCTTCTAGTATGGAAGACTTGATATATTTTTTAATAAATTTGATAAAAAAAATAATAAAATCAAAATTTTCATTTTATCTATCTTTTATAATTATTGACACATATATTTTATCTTTTTTATTTTTAATAAAAGAATATATACTCCCGTGTTATAAAAAAATGAATGTTTAAAAATTCGGTTCCGCCGTTGACTCGACCGAGGTGAGGGGTTATTGATTCAACCGGGGGTCTCGGGGTTATTTCTCTGACTCAGTTTTATATATTAAAAAAAATTAAATATATATCCTATATAAAAAATTTAAAAAAATCAAACCACCAATCATCAAAGATTCAAAATATACTTAACATAATTCAACCAATTACATCCACAAATCAATATTACAAATCAAAGTATCAAACTATTAAAGTTGGGGAAGGATATTGTGACAACCAAGTTGTGTTACTACCAAGTGACTACCAATCAATCTCACCGTTAGATCGATTATGTTGATCCAACGGTTATATTTATTTCCATCTTTGTATGGTCATAATTCCCCATATTCAAAGTGAAAGCATTAAATATGAAAAATCATAACCATACAAAGGTGAAAATAAATATAAAGTATTAAATTTGGGGAATCATGACCATACAAAGATGGAAATAAATATAACCGTTGGATCCATATAATCGATCTAACGGTAAGATTGATTGGTAGTCACTTGGTAGTAACACAACTTGGTTGTCAGAATATCCTTCCAAATTTGGGCTTTTATTGTTCTTCTCACGCACCTACAACATCATATGAAAAAAAATCCCTTACCCAAGAGATAACGGTGGAGGAGAGGCGGCACGAATCAGATTAGGAAGACTAGATCTGGGTCTCGGAGAGAGGATCGAAAGAAAATGAGGAACAATTAAAATTTCAAATCTATTTCTAGAGTGGTGAGTTTTTTTGTTTTTTTGTTACGTATCTAACAACAACTTTTTGTGTGTAAATTTAAAAAAAAAAAAAATTCGATGACCCATTCCTCTGACCTGAAAGTCACGGGTTCAACCGGGAGTTTCGGGGGTCAAAGGGATCAACATGTATGTAAGATCTAACTGCTGACCCCAACTCTCAGAGAGAGGAGGTCAGTGACCCGGAGGGGTTGACTCAGGGAGAAATAGGGTTTTAAAACATTGTAAAAAATACGTTCAGCGGGTTGAAATAGAAAAAATTTACAAATTATTTTAGTGAGAGAAATGTAATAAGAAATTAATACATTAATAATGTAATGTTTAAAGAAGTAAAAATAAAGGAAAAAAGAAGTCTCATATTATAAGAAATTTCTAATCTCATGTCATTGATATAGCAAGAATGAGACCTATCTATTTAAGAAATAAAAAAAAAAAACAGTAGCATGCTTTTTTTTTGTTTTCTCCTATATGAGAAAAACAAACCCTAAAAACAAATTATATATTATATTTTTTCATTCAATAAACATTAGTTAGATGCATTGGATTAGTTATTTCGATGTTATTCACTTTTGTTAATTAATTAATTATTTTATTTTTTTCATCTTTGATTCTTTTAATGATACGCTGAACAAAAGGTTCGAAGATATAATAAATTTGATATAATATTAATTTATCCTCCCATTTTAATTTTATGTTTTTGCAGCTTTCATAGTCAGATTACAATATATAGATAAAATATGTTATACTAATTCTTTGATAATCAATGAAAAAAATTAAAAAAAATGTGATATTTATGAATGAAATAATTTAATTTATATTGTGCATAATAAAATAGTTTAGTAGATTAAAATATTTAAAAGTTTATATTATTCTTGAGTTGTTTATCATTTAATACTCATACAATGCAAAATCAAAATTTAAATAATTTAATTTTTGAGATTGTTGTTTGTCCTTTTAAAGGATATAGAATTGTGTGTGAGTGTGTGTTTTTTTTTTCATTTTAAAAATATTCTAATTGATTCATCACTTCACGATTAGTCCGATTCGGGACGGATCCCGAAATTAAGACTTTAAATTTCTCTAAAAGACAATACTGGAAGAATCAAACACATGTTCTCAGCTCCACTTGTTCGATTCTCTGGCGCTAACTAAGCTACCATCGGGGGAGAATTGTGTTTTTTAAGTAAAAGAAAGAGATATAAAATGAATATGATTGGAGGAGATATTGAGAGTTTTTTAATTTAAATTTTATATAAAATAATAAAAATATTTTTGTCTAATCACTTATTAAGCTTTGATTTTTATATTGTAATTTATATAAAATAATATTTTTAACAATATTAATATTAATAATTAGTCCCTCTTAAAAATATTTTTAATAATTAACATTTATCATTAATTTTCATGATACTTATAATTTTAATATTTTAGTTTTATCTCTCGTTATAAAAAATATTCTAGACCTGCCAATCTGCCATTAGTTAGAGTCCTGTTGTAAGGATTGATCTGAGCGTTCGGGTTGCACAGTAAACATTATTCTGGTTTTAATAATAACGGGAAAAATATGTATCAAGTTATGATAGTTTAATTAGCTTAAAGAGAATATAAATTATGTTCGATTCTTTTTAATATTATTTAAAAAAAATTAAAACCTTACTTTTATATCCGCACCAAGCTTCCGGTGTATAAAAAAAAATAATAGTACTGGGAGGATGTAAGTGAATCGTTGGGTTTGCAGTATCGTGATCATCGATGCCCGTTCTGCACTCGTGTGGTCATACAAAACAAAGATTCTGCAGTAAGAGAAGCAACATCTCAAACGCGTCGTCTATCGCTCCATTTACGCACGCGCTTTGGACAGTTCATCAAATGAGAAATATGTGGATTCGTTTTTTTTTTTACCGAGAAATATGATATTAATAACTATATATTGTCAATTTTATTTTTCCACATAGCACATGAAACATGATGTCTGTAAATAACTAATTCAACTTAAAAGTTTGTTGGGTGAATTTTTTTTAAAGATTTATATTAATCTTTTACATATTTTTTCACATAAATTTTTTTAAAATTTAAAAGCGTGGATATTGTATAGGACAAATTTTAGTTTACATTATGTTTTTACTTAATTTCATTAAAAAATAAGAGCGGTGAGGATTGAACTTGTGATCTTGTGGTGGCCATCTCTAAAGCTCTGATACAATATAAATAATTAATTTAACCCAAAAATTTAAATTATTGATTGAAGGTTTTTTAATGGTTTATATTATTTTTTAACAATATCCTCAAATATGGTAGGACTTATTATGTTTTTGTTAAATATTAAAAGAAAAATAATTAAATGCGACACTTAAATATAGCATTTGTCTGATTAAGTTAATATAAAAGGGATCGATAAGAAATAAAGTTTACATTCAAACAAATTGGACGAGAGAAGACTCACTTTAAACACATAACAATAAATCATGAAGATTATGGTTTCTCCACGAGCATAAATCATTGATCAAGAAAAGAAGAAGCATCAAGCAACCCTTGGGATTCGAAAGCAACTCTGAAGGGGATTTAACATAGTTATTGTAGTTCTATATATCTTCAATATATATTTGATTTTTCTCTTGTTGTCCTATATTTCCTTCTTTTCATGGGTTATTCTTCAATTATATGAGTGCCTAAGCTCCTTTGTTTCTAGGATTAAGTAAGTACACTATATATTTTCAATGACATATATGTGATTTTTTGTATACATAATGACATATATGTGATTAATTTCATAGTTTTTCTTTTTCTGCAAAATAATTACGTAATATTAATCCAATGTCAAATATAGATGATATTTTGAGCATGTTCCATCTTTAATGGATAAGACTCATTTTTTTTTTTTAAGCTGTCTAGGTTACAAAAATGCAGCTTTGAAACACTAATGTCTGTATCCATTTTATTTACTTTTTTTGAATTCATTTATATGCACTCTTTTTTATGTGTGGTTAAATGTGTCATTATTCAATGAAAAGCATTAAGAAAACCAATGTTAAAGACAAAAAGACACGTTGAATACATATATAGTGACAAAAGGAATGTCATAGTGTCAAAAGCTCAATCATCACATAGCCAATACGCTATGGTTCTATGGAGACAAATGAGGTTAATCTAATCTCACTAGCTCACTAATTTTGTCAAATACTGAGTTGTGTGAGTTGCAAAGTGATGCATAGGCTACAAT